AACAATTGCCGTGAACACAGTCACTATTACCATTTTAAAATAATTACATACGCATAATCTTAAAACGGTAACAATATCTATAATATTAGTATATAATTTTTTATTTAATATTTTTAGACTTATATAAGATAGTATTTCATAAATTTTTTAATTAGATTTTTTTAGATTTACTAGACTAATAAGTCTAAAGTTAGCAATTTAAGATAATTAAAAAAATAATATATTTTTAGAATAAAAGTCATAATATATAAATTTTTATATATAAATATTTCTGAGATTATTAATTATTTAATATATATAATTTAATTTTTATTTTAATTTAATTTTTAAAATTAATATATCTAGAAAAATTAATATATTTTGTATAAGTTATTATCATCAAGTATTTATTTATAATTAGATTTTTAGTTACTTTATAATATTTAATCTCATAATAAATACTAATATAGTATTTAAAATTAATTTGAATTTATTTTGAAAATTTGAAATATATTAGAAATAACAACTCTCACTTTAAAAAAATATTTATTTTTTATCTCATTTATAAATTCTTAAGTAATTTATATTAAATTATATAATATTTTTAACATAATTATAAATTTTCTTTCTTATTTAAATTTATTTTCTTTATAATTTCAAGAATATAATAATTTATTCAATCAGATTACTTTGTAAATTAATTCAAAATCTTCTCTTGTAAGATATTTAATATTAATAAATCTCTTAAAAAAAATTTATTCAAATATATTTTTATATTTATGATTAACTTTATTATATTCTTTTATTAAATTATCAATATCTTTATCTTCATTAGATCAAACTAGCTTAATTACTTTATATAGTCAAACTCTTTTAAAATATTATTAAAAACTCTGTGATATGATCTATACTTTTTCATAAAAATATAATAGTTTTATCTGAAAGATTTTATTTGTAAGTACTTATATATTAAATAAATTAATATATATAATAATAAACTTTAATTAGAATAACTAATTTTAATATCTGTAAAATAATTTTCTTGAGACTCTTAAAAGAGTAATTATAATATAAATATAAGTAACACTTCATTTTTTTCTAAAATAATTCAATAAATTAACTTATAATGAAATTTTAAATAAAAATATATATATAGCTAGCTATTTTAATAATCTTTTTCAAATTCATCTATAAAATAATCAGAGTATCATTAGCATATATATTGTAATTATAATTATTATTAAATATAAAGAATATAAGTTTATTAAAATATATTCTCTTAAAAATTAGGATAGCTCTATTAATTACTTGCTTTATAAAAGCTTGATTTATTTATTAGTTATCTTAATTAGAATTTAAATATATAATAATACAGATATCAGTATATAAAAGTTAATTATTATCAGAAAACAAGTTATTTATAGCTTGATTCTTTATTAAAAGATAAAGATATCTAATTAATTCACAAATAAAATCACTTATATAAATATTAAAATCTTGTAACTTATATTAGAACTAATTTTCTTTTACTAGATTTCAGATCTTGATAATACTATTATTGATATAAAAAATCAATTTGTTATAAAGAATTAAAATAAGTTCAAGAATATTAGTAAAAAATAATTTGATTCATATTCTTTTTCTTGTATACTAATTAATTTATTATTTGTTTTAAGAATTAATTTTAATAAGTTATCATATTATTATGCTCATAATTATTAAAGTAAATATTTTTTAAATAATTTTTATAATCTTAGTCAAGTTGATATAGTCATTTTTGAATTATTATTTTACTAATTTTTCTTTTTATCTTGATCTCAAGATTAGATAAAGTCTTATTTTTGACAAACTTAATAAATTTATAGATAATTATTATAAACTTATTTATATATAAATATATAATAATATGTATCTTAAAAACTTTATCAGACAGAAGTAATATAATTTTTAAGTGATAATTATAATATAATATAAAAATTTTATCTTTATTTAATTATTAATTAGTTCATAAATAAATAATCTGTTCATATTATAGATTTTGATTAATATTATAAGCAAGAAAATTATTAGTTAATAGCTTAAAAAATTCTTGATCTTGAATAAGATAGAAAAATTAATTTACTATATCAAGTTACATATCAGACTTTTTTTTAGCAAAATATCAAGAAATATCAAAATAAACATATTCTTATCATTACTAAAATGAATTATCTTCTCAAACAAAAGTTTATTATTATTAGGATTAGTATCTTGATAAAAAATCAGTTGGTAATTTTATTAAAATCAAAAGTTATCTTTCTTAAGATTACTTTTTTATTATATAATATTAATTTAGCAAAATCATTATAAATTGATTTTTATTTCTTTATTATTTATATATCTAATTATCTTGTATTCTTAATAAGTTCTTCTAATATACTTTGTTTTAATTCTTTTAATTCTTTTATAAATTGATTATCTAAAAACTTATTTTCACTTTTTATCTGAATAATATCATTACTTGATTTATCAGTATTACTTAATTTATTAATATCTAATACTTTCTTTTTTCATTTTAACTTGATATTATTCTAGTACTTTTTGATAATCATTAAGCAATATTTAGTATGCTTACTTTATTTATATATGAAAAAAAAGAAAATGCATCTTAAAAGAAGTTAATAATATAGCAAAAAAGACTTATATCATAAAAAAGAAAAATAATAATATAGAAAAAAGAGATTATTTATTATTTTATAATTATATAGCAAAGAAAAATATTATCATCTGAACAAGTCTTTTATATAATAAAAGAAAGAAATAACTTATCTTACAAGTCTTTAATATAAGTCTCCTAAAAGTCTTCTAAATAATTTTTTAAGAGCTCAAAATTGCTTTTGATATATTTTCTGACGCGTTTATCTTACGCGTTTATCATGTGATCGTATCATAATACATGCATCCCAAATTTCAGCGGTGGCGCAGCACTTGATGTCTTTAGGCCGTTCGCACCATATAACTCTCCCAAAACAGACCAAAACAAAAATCACTCTTATAGAATTGTAGCTTGACTAAAGCGCTATCGATCTGTAAGAGGGTTTTTTGTTTTGATTTGTTTTGGGGGGAGTTATAAGGTTTTGCATAAACTAACTAAAATTGGATATCTTATGCTGTCCCGCACTGTATATGTATGACTTTTTATTTGAAATTAATAGATTAACGTAGCCAAAGCCAATCACGAATTTTTGGTACAATGATACCGTCGACTGAGCTCGCGCTGGAAATTAAATATGAATGTTATTGAAGTTCATATAATATCAAATGGATGTATTCAGCATACTTACCATGAGAATATAAAGAAGTTCAAAGACCGCCAAAAAATCTGCCACATCAATGAATTCAAATGGTGGTGTTGCAGATTTGATCTGCGAAACTTTGAAAACATGCTCTTCACATCGCCTCCTCATCGAATTTACCAAAGATTTTAACATTGATTCGGGAATTTTATTCCATTCCTCAATCATATACCGTTCTAATTCGCCAAGGTTTTTTGGCATGCGTTTCTCCACGTTTCGTTTGACAATAGCCCATAGATTTTCGATCGGATTTAAGTCTGGGCTACATGATGGCCAATCCATAACCACAGGGACATAAAAAACCCATGACGAGACGACTCGTAATTAAACGTTAACCGGTCACCTAATAAATATTTCCATGTAAGATTATGTGTTAAAATTAATTAAATGAATGACTTATGAGTGCAGTAAATATATTACCAATGCTTTGAATTATGAATGTGCATAACTGCTTCGATTCTTCTGCACTTTTGTCCAAATAATTTCGTAATAAGGAAACAAGACCCAAATACAACTTCTTTCAAAGCTTCTCTGAATTCTTCTTTGGATCTATGTTTTTTATAAATATCATCATCTTAGACTAATACCTAATAAATATAACTAATTAATTATCCAATGATATTGTGATATGAATCGATCAATTAGATAAGATAATGTTCTTAATAAAAGTTCTTCAGGACCACCCGATACTTCAATGAAAATAACAGCCTTGTTGCTCGAATTTCGTACTCCTAAACCATCAGCTTGGTTTATATGTAAATCAAACTTGGGAAATATCTTCTTCACTTCTCTCATGCAATCCAATTCAACTTCGTTCCAATGAAATTTGTATTCATTATATACCAATTGAATTGCTTTAAACAGGGGAACAATCCTTTCAACGATATATATACGTTCACCAATGTCTCTTTTTAAAGGACCTTTGCCATAAAATAACTATATAAATAACAAGCATATTAGTAAAATTATGATGTAAAAAAAAGATATGAATTCGTGAGTATTATCTAAAAATTTATGATAACTTACTGTTTTTGCTATTTTATTAATTAATTCACTAGCAATAATCGCCTTTTCCTTTGAATTATGAAGTGCCTCAGAAATCATTGATTGTTCTTCTTTTATATACTGCTGAGTTGCGTGATTTATTTTGGACCAAAGAAGATGACAGTGATTACGAAGCTGTTTACCACATGAGGATCCATTAGAAAAGCATGTCCATGATGCAAATTGTTCCCATATTAAGATTGAATTTTTTTGGTAGATTTAAAAATTTCTGTTTCTAGTAAATCTATCATTGTTGCAGGTGCTAGATCATCATCCTTATTGGTCCGAATTTGTGATAGTTAGAAATGGACAATGAGTTAGTATTCAATATAACCAACAATAAAAAAAATATTAACAAAACATCTCTTAACTAAAAAATGAATCCAATGTTACCTACACTTCAGACATCATATCTCACTATCACTTTTGATTGTTTTACTTTATTAATCTTCCGCTAAAATTAAATGTAGTGTCTGTTAATATTGATTTACATGTCATGGCTTTTTTGCAATGATATTGATGGTGTTGCCTATCTTTTTTGCTGATTATCAGAATCGGAGGAAATAGAAGAGTTATCACTCGGTTCATACTGGTAAACAGGCCTTCCGAGGTCTACGGTATGCTATAACATTTCCAAACTAAAAAAAAATGGAAGTGTATCTCACCGAAAACGTAGTGGTCGCCCCCCAAAATCTCCTCCCAAAGCTCTAAAATATTGGTTCAACAAGTAAAAAAGAAACCTGCAATATCAAGAACTTTCGCCACAAATTTATTAAAAAAAGAAGTCCAAGCCTCTCACGTAACCGTTTATTGCATATGATAAACTGATAAATCAACAGAAGCATACAGTCAACGATATACTGAAAACAGCATGCAGGGATCAGCCCCGAGTACTTACACCCAGGTACTTCCCTGGCGGCTTGCTTCCAAACATCTGACACAGAAAGCAATGGCCATATGCCAGTAGGTATACACATCCTGGATACTAGCATGCAGAGATCAGGCCTTAAGTATGCACCCGAAGTACTTCCCTGGAGACTAGTGCCAAACATCCAACGCAGGAAGTAATGGCCATACGCCAGTAGGGATGCGCTCGACTGATAGCATAAATAAAATCATATACTTGCCTTTGTGAAGACATACAGTATATTTGACAAAATCTTGTTAGAATAGGTGAACGAACTTTTTACGCGTTCAAGTAAATAAAGTAAATATAACTGATCATCATTTATACTTGCAACCACGTGACCATGGTGCTACAGGGGGAGAAATCTACAATATAGCATATAAAAGAAAAAATCATTAATAAAATTATATATAGAATCATCTATATATAGAAATTTATAATTATAATAGTTATATCAAATATAAAAAAGTAATATGTTTCTTAAAAGAAAAATTGAAAATATAATTACTTCTAAGAGAAAAGTTTACTAAATTATGTGAAATATTTTAAGTTCTCTCTAAATTTAAATAAGATATATTTCTAATAATTTAGCTAATTTAATATAAATTTGCTAAAACTAAATAAAATAGAATAGTATTAATAATTATTAATAATAAGCTTAAAAATCAAAATTAAAATAAATAATAATATTATTAAATAATAAATCATATTATTATAATATTAAATTTATAATAATTTTGATTTATTTATATAAATAATATAAAATTTTTATTAAAAAATAAATTTCTTAGATAAATAAGATTAAAACTAATAATATATTTATAATAAAATTAATAAAATAATAAATAAATATTATATAATTATGATTGAATTATAATTAATATTAATAATTATAATATTTATTATTAGTTAAAATTATTATTAACTTTTATCATATTCAAATTAATATTATTTTGATAATATTATAAAATCAATTTTTAACTTATATTTATTATAAATATTTTATATTTTAACTTGTATTTATTATAAATATTTTATATTATTAATTATTATATAAAATTTAATTTCAATATTTCTTAAGAAAAAAATATGAAAAATATAATTTAAAAAATTAATAATATTATGGATTGGTATAAAAAGATTTATATCTCAGATAAATATTAATAAATTATTTTTTCAAGATAAAAATTTTAATTCTGTCTTATTTAATTAAGTTATTAGATATTGAAATTTATTTAAATATAAAAATTTTTATTATATA